AATAACTATTTTCAAACGAGATTAAGATAAGTTCTTGATTAAACATACAATTTTGTAAAAAAGCCAAATAAATGCACTGGAATTGACAGGTGAATGGTTTTAAGTCCGATTGAATGTTTTCAATGTAAGATTTAGAGACATTGGGGTTTATTCAATTCTATAGAAAATGGATCATACCAAGATATATTGCACCATGTATAAAAACACTGATGTCTAATGCAAACAAGACGAAAAGTGAACATTGATTTTTGAGTTGGTCACTTAAGTAGATTTTGGTTACCAAATAGCAACGTGTTTTTGTTCGCTATCATGAAGTGTGTACATTGGGCTAGATATCAACCATGTTATGTAACTTTGTTTTAATTCGAAAAATATAATGATTTCTACATGCCATAATCTTAACCGATAGACATTGTACCAATTGATTTTTGCCTACGAAATTGTTCCTGTACAAACATGGTACCAGAATGTATTTGTCCCTTTTTGCACAATATATCCCCGCGACTAGAAATTCTATACTCTTATATAAGAATTGTTGATGTAATGGAAAAATTTATAATCCAACCTGAATTAGTTAACTCAGCTCAATTGATTTTTTCTTCCTGCCGTGTGGTCAAAATGTGCTTCTATTGAGGGGAAAACAATATCTATAGAGAATGACGAAATATGTAATTAACATTTATTACATTGATTATAATTACAATGACACATACATTGTACTTTTACAAATTCTCAGTGATTCTTGTTTCTTGATCATGATAACACATAAGTCTATAATGAGCATTCACATATTTTTTTGTTTGAATCTTATTTTTGAAAAACCTGTCAAAATAGGACCATTGGCTCTTGATATAATTATTTTTGAACGAGTCTTCTATTAGCTGACAATCTGTCTAATAATCCTTCAGAGCATAACGGTTGCCAAGAAACACCAAATACAATTGGAGAAATCGCTCAGAAATACATTACTAAATTGAACCAATCAAACGATTATATAATTTTTCGGTTCTACTATTCATATTGCAACAAACACTCAGAGAGTCATCACGAAATTGATTTTTAACGAAATGAGAATGAAATTACTCATAAGGGATAATGCGTAAAATTATTTATTTCCCTGACCATCGCTGATGAGGCATTTTTCTCTATCAATTACGACTAATTGGACGAATTCCTAACACTGTTATGTAATACTTAAAAATTCAATTTTCTATGATGAGGATTAGTAATCGGCTAATTCATTTTTGCCTCGTTCTGAATGTTTTGTCGCTTTGTTGAGAGAATAGAGTCTATTGTGTTAAAGCTGCTATTGAATCTCCTGTGTTAGTATTGAATAACAAGTGTTTATTACTGGAATTCGGGTCCATTTCCATCATTAATAAAACCTACATAGAGGTGTTAACCTAATGATGTCAAAATGAAAAACAAACCTATTGTTGCAGTTACTGAAAACCAAGAATAAACATGAGATTAGTTCTAATAATGACACTCTGCTGATGAGTTAATTATGTCATAAACATGGCCAGTGTCATATTATGACAAAAATGTCAACTAATTAAGAAAAAATTATCATAAATTCGAACTTATCATGCCATTTCATAATGAGTGCTAAAAGATATAAAAATGCCAAAATTCTCATTTTGCCTTGTCCATGATATGTCATATTACCTAACACTAATATGACATTTCTAACTGACAATAGGATTGGATTAGAAAGATATGTACACTGTATAGAACTATACAAGTGCCTGACATACTAAAGTTATTCAAATCTTCTTACTTTGCTTGGTTCCATTGATCCATCAAACAACTAAATCCTCATTAACTATTCCTGAGGCTTGCGTGAGGAAAAACAGAGCATAAGTTTTCGCCAATAATGGAATCAATAAAATATGCTATGATGTAACACTGGTCAGTTAAAATGCCAGTTTTTAGCTTGCATTAGTTCTAATTAAGGGAGTTATGTATCAGCAATTGGATCCCATTGATTATTATTTTTCAGTAGACTTGTGATGTGATTATTAACAACGTGCAATATAAGAAGATACTGCAATTAACTTCATGCTTGCTTAACAAAAAGAGTCAAAGATGCAATTTTTCTAATTACATGTTCGGGTATTCAATTGGAAACAGTATGCAATTACTATGTATTATTTAATACAAAAGATATCTAGGATTAATTACTACATGCATACTATAGCATAGAAACACTATATTTAATTATTTGTACATGAACTCATTTCGTCATGGTAACAAGAGATGACTCCCTATGGTAACATTGTGGTTTACTGAGTTGTTGGTAAGGCAACGAATGATGCAACTATGAAACATCCTCATGATTACACTGTGATCTCCTAAAGGAGTAAATTGTCTTCAGAAGGAGAAACCTCCCAGCAGAATTATTCCCCTTTGAGCAATCCTCCTATGAATGTGTCTAATCAATCACAAAACCCATTTCATAAAAAATACTGATTCATGAAATCATATTTAAATGGTTGTAAAATGCTATAATTTTTACCAAAACTGAATTACATCATTTTGATTTTCCAGAGCCTCTCTTTAGACAAGAGGGTGTGGTTTAACGATAGAAGTATATGCACATATATAATGATGGTGCCCAGACTGATCCCTCAAGACATCAACTGACCCTATAAAAATTCCCCAATCAGATGAAATGATGAAATATTTGAGAAAATGGCAACATCTGTAGCTTATAACATTCCTACAGTTGTTGGAGAAAGAAATGGAGACAGTTTAAATGATAAGTGTATGGAGTAAGTATACATCTATCATCCTCTCTGTATAGGCCCTCATCACATAAACCTGCCCCGCCCACATACCTCGCATACATTAATCATCATACCAACACAATACAGTTTTTTCTTGACTGTCTACTCTACGTTGGTAAACAAGTTAATAAAGTAGTAAAAACGTCTATTAATGTAGCAAATATAATATAATGACTGTCAATTTAATACTTTATAAATGGTAGGTTATACCTCAATGCCACAAATACAATTATTCTTTTGATTGTTCTTTTCTTAATTTCCGATTAGTCAGTAAAATGAGTAAATGCTTATCCTGGCCTAAATATTCCTCTGCTATCAAAAAAACTCAGATTTTTTCCAAAGTCTGGTTGTGTGAAAAATAAGTTTAATAGACTCATTCTTTCCCATATATTGTATGTAGTAAAAATCAAGAATTAATTAATTAAATGTCTAAAGTCTTAAGATCTCGTATATACATGTTGTACAATCACAAAACCCACGCTAAATCTTTATAGCAATAATCATATTTCTGTTGTATATTATTCTACACAGCATTACAACAACATTGTGACCAATGACGTAGCTTTTGCTGAACTAGGATTCCATTTTACAAAAGGAATTTTGACCAACACACATCTGAAAGGTGATATAATGTTGGCCATTTTGAAATAAACATTTAGTGTTCAAAAAACAATAATTATCATGAACTAGTTATTTAAGTTATTGCCAAAATGGAGAAATTGATCAACTAATTATTTCTTGGAATTTCATTATATTAAAGAATAAATGTAATTGTCGCCCAATGATTCAAAAATAACCAATGACGTTATCATGCTTGGGTCTACAAATACATTACATCATGCTGAGTGCTTTAATAAATACACCTTCTTATATCTGTAGCAATTAAAATGCTACATTATTTCTTAGTAATGTTCGAATATAATTTCCTCACGATTCACAAGTAGACACCACTCAAAAGAACAAAAAGACCAATAAAAGTTTAATATTTCTTATCTATAGATTACACTTTGCCAACTTGTTATGTTACAAATATGTGGACAATAACAAAATTAATTATTCTTTCCACATCTCCAAAGGTCATCTAACTTCACACTTTTGAATGATAATTTCATTAAATAAAGAATTTTTCGAGAAAAACTGTATAGATCTGTATTACACCAATATTTACATTCATTGATGCCTTAATGAATGTAAAAGGATGGTAACAACAACATGCTCTAAGAATGAAAATGATTCAACTGCCCTCTATACAAAAAATTCAGAACTAGAATTCTTGTCAGAATCTTATCCCAAGAAATTACAGATGAAATTAAATTAATTACTCATTGTTTTCAACAAAGAAACCATAAAGAGCAAATTGTCCCTATGACCCCTATATTAAAAAGACGTGGGATCAACTGTAAAATTAAATAGATAATAAATCTAGAAATGCAATTAGTAGACGAATCATAAGGGTGTCATTTGTAAGCAACATAGCAGCTTTTAAGAACAGCTTAATAATAACATCCACTGTTACTAAATTCATGCAATTTATTTTTACAGTGCATAATTTCATGTTTATTTTTATTCAATGATTACAGTGTATGGTTATTAGTTTTGTTGTATCTGCAATCAGCTGTATATGTGGTCAATGCAAAATAAATAACTAATGTGACATAATTCGTGTTTTACCCTAATCTGACCAGCTAGAATAGAACAATATCCTCTGAGTAAGAACCACATTTTCCCATTTGGCCTTCGACCTATCAAATCTACACCTATGCTTTACTTTTTAAAATTGACATTCTTGAAGGATGACTTGATCTGATAGGCTCACTGAAGGATGACTTGATCTGATTGGCTAAGTGAGTTCATAGCTTTATCAGCAATATTGAGAGTGGGATAAAGTTGTTCCCTGATAAAGGGTTAGTATTCCCTGCTTGGTTTTATTCTTGATCAAGCCTCTGTTGTGCAACCACCTCTTAAATAATCTACAAGGGTAGGGAAGAAGAAAGATGGGAACAGAAACTAAAACATTGAATACTTGAGCTGTAAAGTAATTTCTCGAAGAAAATATTTTTCGATTGAATTTTGATTTATTCCCTTCTATTCTACTTTATTCAACATGATTTAATATGATTAAAATTGTTTCTTACATTGTGTCAGTGATGTGGCGTTGTGCTCTCTGACTGTCAGTCTGTAAATGTTTGTGATCATGGATTGTGCCAAGTTGTACCCGATTGTGCTGAACAGAAGCTGTCTGGGGCTTTAACGAAATCATCGAAAAGTCAGCTGGTCGTCACGAAACCTCCTCGGAAATCTACACACTGAAAATACAAACATCACTATCTTTTACTGATAATCACTATTAAAAACCAATTATATGAAAGAATTCATGATTAAAAAGTGATAAATGTCATTTAAATTGCGATATGAACTAAAATAACTTAAAAAATACAACAAGCTTGTGAAATCAATTCAACCAGTAGTGCTTATTAGTCTTTATTTGCGAGCCAATTGACTGCTTAATTGCTGCCCATCATGTTCATTATTGACTCTTCAAAAAACATATTGACGGCAAAAAAGCTGATTATTATTCTCTTTTTAAGTGTTTAACCCTGTGACCTATGTAGTTTTTCTAGTAGTTTGAGCATATTATAAAATCTGATAGTCGAACTGTAATTAATCCCTATAGCCTCTTATCTTTTTCTCTGTCAATTACCCCCTGGTTGTTATGACGATTTTAATGAGATGCAACCTTAATGACAGAGCCACACGAGCATCAAAAATTAACAACCCTAGTATTTTTGACACCCTAAGATAAATGGGAAGCTGATCTAAAGAAGATTCAGATAAAACGCAGTTTCATTATAACGAGTCTCAAAAACTGAAATTATTGTGTTAATAAAAACTGCAAGACATACACAGAGGGATTTGATTGGTTCGTTTTATTACACTATTTATCATTAATTTGATGAATGCTGACGTTAATGTTCCATCGCATTCAAAAATAATTTACGCTGTTCTGCTTTTCTATGATAACTATTACGCAGACCCGTCTCTTTTAAAGTGCCGTTCTTGGAAATGCATAGTGGTAAAAAGGATACAACAAGCTTATCTTTTGACTTGTCATGCAAATCAATTCCTTTGTTGTCAAAAGTCAAGAGAAAGTGAGATTTTCACAAATTAATAATTTCCAAGACAATACCACAAGACTCTCCAACCACGATAACTTTGTGACTGTAAAAGTTATGCTTTTTGTAATTTGAGAACTCAGTCTAATTCAATTAGAGAAAAAATTCAAAAAATCTATGGGGCACCCTGTAGACTACTTTATATTCTCGTAATCAAATTTGATGAGTTTCGATGAAAACCCTGACAGAGTTCAAGGGTTAGGCCATCAGAATTCATCTCTCATAAAAATGATAAACTTGATGATGATTCTTTTTATGAAGTCGTGTGCAGCTAATTTACGACTCATCATAAAGCGGCCAGTCGTGATTGGCTGATTTTTATCACTTAGAGCCTCCCCCTCCCATGGGGATGCTAGAAATGGCATCATTTGATATGAATGGCGGTACAAAAAGTGCATTAGGTACAGATCATGACTTCAAATAAATATAACATTCCTACAAATGATATGATACTTCTCTCAAGCCGCTATGATTTGTTTTTTCAAGAAAGACTTAAAAAATAAAGCTCCTTGTTTGTACAACCTGCTTTTAGTATTAATCAGGAGTTCTAAACATATTTGTGATCTGATCACTTCCGTGTTTAGATTCTGTATAAGGGGTCAATGGGTGCATTTTTTGTCCCTCCCCAAAGCTTTATCCATACATCTTATTTATGTCAGTATCTCTTTCAACAGTGTCAGTTTTGTCAATAACACGAGTAAATATGCCAAATACAAATAAGACACATGATCTGGATATTTGTGTTTCATATTGCTCTGACAAAAGATGCGTATCTACTGTATTGGTCATTGGTAACTGAGTACCTACAAACATTTCCCCAAAATGGATACCATCACTGACCACTCGAGTTCATTATCAATTTTCATAAAGCATCATTATCTAAACGAGGTCAACTTCAATGCACTAATTGTTAACAAATTTTCACTCCTATTGTCCATTCTTTGTGGTAACTTTGTTGAAAAGGCTTAATAAATTGCCCGAGGTTTTCTCACCCCTTTGTTATAATGACTTGACCAGAATTGAAGGACAACCGGTCTTATTTGATATCACGATCACTGATTTTATTCAATTAATTCAAAAAATAAACAATATTAGTGCTGATGACAATGGATGAGATGTTACATTGTCTAGTTCTTTATCCTAGTATAGCATTCATAAATTGCCTAAACCTGGGCCATTAATGGAGCTCAAGCTATTAAGCTCTAAAAACTACAGACCAAATTAAAAATTCTACAATGTAATTAAGAGTTTCATTTATTACTCTGAGACGCCTAAAAATGCAATCTGGTAGTCTTTTTCAACTACCCATTAGTAAAACATCAACATTTGATATCAGTAATCAAAAATCATTGTTAACGTTATATTAAATTTTCTGTTACATTTTCCGCTGGAACACCTGTCTTATACAAAGATGACCACCAATGATTCAAAAATGACAAAGTCAAAAAGACAATGGAGATTTAGTGAAACCACAAGCATGACCCAAAGAACAAAGAGTTGAAAGGTTCTGACTTGTTATTATAAATTGGTCAAAATTAGCTTCTCCAGTTGTGATGGCCAAGTCCATAGTTAAAACATCCCAGTGTCTTTTATTTTATGGTACAAAAAATATAAAAAATGATAATTTGTAAAACTGATGATTGATCCATTAAAATAATGATTTGAAATCAATGAAATAACACTTAAAAATGATTTAATCAAAATGAAATGATAATAAAAATTTAATTCAACCAATAAATATCAAAAAGCTATCAGAATAAACAAATTATATATTTTGTAACACATATTTAGTATATCTAAATATCTATTTAATGTTTCATAATGAGCTTTTTAAAAATAAATGAAAAAATAACAGAAAATGCGTCGTTCTAAATATATTTAATCAAGCTTTTCTAAACAAATTAATACATGTATAGACTATTTAATGTATTAGTTTATGATTTTTATGCTTGAAAATAAGGCTGCAAAAATGCATCAGGCTTAGATAAATCACAGACCAGGAGTAAACTAACAATAACTGGGCAAGCATTGAAAACCAAACACTGTAACTACCACCCCCCTTTATCATCATCCCCACCCACCCCTTAAGATTTCACTAACACATGACCAGATGGCAGTGAATCTTAGGTGACTTCTTAAGTCCACATCTTTTGTTTTTTGACACCGACCACACAATCTTGATGCAAACTAATATAGAAGCCACATTACCCACAAAGCCCAAGATTAGACACGGAGGTTTAAGACGCATCTACTTGTTCAAATATGTTCTCCTTTGATCTTCACTTTTTTCAAATGTGCTGTCTGCGATGTGCTCATCGATGGCATATTCTGGTAATTTTATTTAATTTTGGTTTGGCAAACATAAATCTTGCATTTTGGCTGCGTCTGTCCCATTTCTTTAACAAAAATGCTGGGAAAAGATATTTATACCCTGTGATCAACAGTGAGCTCTTCCTAACAGTACCCCATCCCTATAAACAGTTGCACACAGTAGATCATGTCAAGCAACTGCAGAATGCAAAGCATCTCAGCTGTTTAGGTTTACATAACATTCAAAAATCAATCAACTCTTTCCAGAAGTTTGCGTTTGCATCTCACTGGCGGATTAGGGGGGGGGGCCTGGGGGCCCGGGCCCCCCCCCCTTGGGTGGGCCCAGAAAAAAAAATTGGGCCCAAAAATTTTTTTGGGCCAAACAAGGCCTTCAGGCCCCAAAAAGTCGGCCTTTTTGGTCATTACTGGGCCTTTTAAGGCCTTATTTTTTAATTTCAGGCCAAATTTTGAAGAAAATGGGCCTCAAAATTTCAAAATTTGGGCCCACTTTTGGATTTTAGGGGCCCAAAATTTTTTTCCGCGCAAGCGCGGACGTTTTTTTCTCTGACCGGAAATTTGGGCCCCCCCCCCTTGTTGGATCCTGGATCCGCCCCTGCATCTCTAAAAGAGATCTTCATCTGCCTGCATCAGTGTCTGACACTGAAGGTAAAATCAATCCACAGTTACATTCAAAAGTTTTAATTAATCTCTCAATCAATCAAGTAAACTTTTGTTCAAGATAATACCAGAATCTTAAAATCTGAGGAATTTTATAATTCTGACAACTTCCCTTTTCTGGGAATAATATAAACAGCTGCCCTAATAGGGCTAAATCACAGGCCCATATCTTGAACTACTGCCCCAGTGGACCCATTCCTCCAGAATAGACTACATGGGCAATGAGTGCATCAATTTGAAGGTCAGTAAGCCAGATTGAAGTGTTCCTGACCAGTGTAACAAGACCTTGTTTCTTTTAGGTAAACCCACCTAAAACAGGAGTATCACTTAGTGATGCTATTTTGAAAAGTCGACCATTAGTAGAAACAAATACATTTATCTGGACATCTGGTTTCATGCAAGAATATTGAGGGTCAGACGTGGGAATTCAAGAAGTATTTTGGTCATTCACTACATACCGCACCTCACGACTGTGCCTGTTTTATGAGTAACTTTTTCGTTATACAAGGTCTTTAACATCTCCCTATTTATGTCAGGTACCATTCATGTCATCGTTTACCAATGTCACTTATATTTTTGAAAAACGCCATGGACAGAGCCTCTGAGGTATGGGCATCTAAATTACGTGAAGCAAAAATAAACGAGGGATTAACCGATCCCCAACTGCCAACCGCCGAACTCCAACTGCCGTCACAAAAAACGGAGACCATAACAATATGTCAACACTTTTTGGTGGTGATATAATAGGTGAGGCAAACAGAGTAAAGCCAGTAGTTCTGAAATATATATTTCTGTAAAACTTTGGTGTGGCAATTGCCTCACCTGCCTCAGTGCCTCATGCCTCACTATACCCATATTTGGGCATGAAATCCACAGGCAAGAGACACGTCATAAGATGAAGAGAATGAGATGGTAGGGGACTGTTCCTACTGCTGCCTTCACACAATGGGTCATTATGGAGAGTCCATATGTATTTATACGATACCTGATTCTTTTTGTCTATTTCATGATCTAAATCATTAACTTTATAATGGTCTAGGGGTGAGATATATATCAAGAAAGAAGATTGACACCTATCTAATTCATTTTATTTAATCATAAAAAGTAAAATCTCAATTCCCAATCTGAGTTTATGGATGATGAATACATATTGAGTCCTATCTGTATAGCAGTAAAATCTACAGAATTAATTCCTGGGGGCTACAATGTGACTTTATAGGCCATCTATATTTTTTATTCATTCTAAATGAAAAGCCCCTGAAAGCGTAGATAATGACACGTCGTGAAAAAAGTATGAAAGTTTCACCATTCATTATCCAAAGGCACCTGAAGATCCATATTAAACGCGATTGAAACGCTCGTGAAAAAGACGAAAGAGATCATTAGAGGAAATATACAACACATAAAATAGCACCAGTCATTCATGGCATCCATCAAAAAACTAACTGTACATTATGTTTACCTTCATGAGTGTACCGAGTGACCCCTGCTCCCGGTTGGACCATCTGGAACTGATACTACCAAAGGCAATGATATATTTTCTTTCACTCTGAAGAAGGTGAATGAGCCAAAGATCTGGGATATCATGGTTAGGTCAGGTGTGACCAGGTAATTGATAGCTTCCTGGGTACCTACTCGTGTAGCTAACATGGATTAACAAGGGCCTCAGATCAACATTGACACACACATTGACAGTGTTGGTGAGGCTGACATTCTTGGTTCAGAGTTGAGGGTTGTTCCAAAAGTATTGAATTATTTACTTTTTTAGTCTTTGGTATTTTATTATATAATTCCCCGAGGAATTTATATAAACTACAGACTATTCTACAATGCTTCATCAAAATTGATAATTCTTTAAATGTTATCTTATTTGATTTAAAAACAAAATGTCATTGGATACATAGGTTTGAATTATAGACTTATTAAAAAATGACACTGAACTTAAATCCTCCAACCCAAGGAGTCCCTCTAGCTTTCAGCAACAATAGCATATCTGTATTCCATTCCCATTCTTTCTAAATCATGTCCATTCATTGCATTTGGTGGCCAAAACCACACAGTATATCTACGTGCCTTGACATTGTAATATAGCACCTTTAGAGCAGCACCTACACTAACTAGAGTACAATTTTATCTTTTTGAATGTCATAATGATAAAAATAAATTAAATGAGAACTATATTTTATAATTTCTTCTATTGCGTCAGTGATGATATAAAGAACTAAGAATACAATAACAATGCATGGATGCATTACAGCTTTTCCAAGATTTATTTAAGCACAGATGGGAAAGAGAATTGTACCAAATAAAGTGGTCAGTTCCATTGATGTCCTTTCAATATTCTCACTAGAAACCTTCACCTCATTAATACAGAACCTGCTTGGACATTGAACAATTATAAGTAAAATTCAATTTTTCTGCACCACACTAGACGACCACAAAACCTAAAGTAAACCATAAACTTAATTTGTGTTTATCTCGTGAAAAATAGAACATTTCATCAAAGTTGGACATCAAAAAAGAAGTTCATTTTTAAAGAAATATGACCTACCGAATGCTATTTTTATCATACCACAAGAATATATTTTTCTTTACCAAATTCGGTCAAGAGTTGAGGTCAATAGGTGCATCAAAAATATAGAGGACACATCCCTTAAAAATATATAAGGGGGGGGGGTTGGTAATATAAATTGTGTAAGTTTTCTTTTGGATTTCAAACTGGTGGTGCAAAATAGAAATTGAGTAAAGCATCATAGAAATATTGAGTAAATTACTAAAGCAACAGTATTATTTTCAGTAAACTGCTCGGTAACATAGTTGATGTTGAGGAAAGTGACGTTGAGTAAGTGACATTGAGAGTTGATGCTGAACAACTGTTGAGTGAATTGATTATACAGTTGCATTTATTTTGAGGAACTAGAAGGGTTGAAGATGAGTTGAAAGTTAAAGTGGGGAAAAATATTACAATGTCTTTTCCTCTCATCATTCTATATCATACAACACTTTATAAAAAGTCCAACAGGTCTGCTTTATTTCTGGACAGTCCTTCAAATATCAGAAAATAAAATTAGATTGTAAAAATAAAGAAAACACAGGCATTAGCCATTTGTGTAATTGTGTCGTGTAACTGCAATTTGTGAACTGATTTTGCTTTCAAAGATATGTGCAACTGAGACAATGTTACATAAATCATTATGTAGCAGATTTTATTTTGAGTAAATTGATTGTGCAACTGAGTTAATGTTGAGTTGAATTGGTAGCGCTTTCAAAAAATGTTGGGTTTATTAACTGTGCAATTGAGTAAATTGATTGTTCAACAAAGTAAATGTTGAATAAATGCATTCTGTCAAAGAGCTTATGTTGAATAAATTGCAATTGATTGCACAATTAAGTTAATATTATTAACAAGAGGCAACATTGGTTGTTAAGTGTAATGCAAAAAGGTTTATCTCATAGCTTATGTCGATGCACAATATGTTGATGTGGCGATACATGGGAGTTTTCCATACACGTAAGGCCCAACCAACGACTCAACCTCTGATCTTTACATTTAAAAAAATTGGCAATTTTTGCAAAATTGGCAAATTCTGAATATTCTCTAACATGTTAAACGCTCTGGTTTAGTTCTCATATAATACACCAAAACACTTGACATGTTATCTTAGCACACTGCAAATAAATCCAAAACTCCACTATGGTCATTTTGAGATAAAGAATTATATAATTGTTTTATCAAATGTTTATTGTTTTATCAAGAGCCGACTTGAACATTGACTTCTCAGTATTTGTTATTTATATGTCAGCCAGATACGTAGGACATAACTGGCTTCGATAATATCAAAAATATCCCTGGTATCTATGTGAAACTGTACTTTGACTTTGTGATCTTATGTAACATATAGGTGAATAATACAAGTACAATAACAAAGAGATATCACAACTTTTTCATGGTTTCTTTTATCAGTGGTAGACTTCTGATACACTTTAAGTTTATCTGTTATTTTTGTGGAGCTATAGTCATTGATTTTTATTTTTTCAATGTTTTTTTTAAATATCTTTCCAGTTTTTATGAGTAGACTTTTATGATAAAATTATTGGAAAAGTAGTCTACACCATGTTATCTTCAGCAAGGGAGCTACAATGTAAAATCATGTCATCTTATGCAAGGGAAGTCCAATCAATTCAATACAAGATTTACAATCACTTAATTGTTACAACATAATTACAAAAATGATATTACCAATTTGACTAATTGTTAATAGAAAAATAAAACACAAAACCCTATATTAAAAAAGACTACAAAGTTCATGCAATGTCGCAGAATGTTAATCCGCTAACGTTATACTACTAAGAAAGATTAATGTAAAAATATATGGATTAATTGCCGCTATACGCTTGTTATAACCTCCCGTAATTCAGATAAATGTATCAATTACGGAAAACATTTTTTATGCCTGGAACTAAATTACTACAACAATAAAACAATTAACTACGGATATTTTTTCATTTGCACACGCTTTATAGTGTGTTTAACACGATTTAACACCTCTTTAGACAAAATACTATTGATTTTTGCTCTTTCAAGCAGATGTACATATGTTTTATTGTCAGGCGCATGTTTTTTGACATTTAGTACAAATCAAAGGGCAAAAGTCAGAAGAGTTTAATAAATTATAAAAACAACCTGTTTTGAAAAGAAAGTTGATATCTTCATTATAGACGAGTATTGAAATTGAATGCCGTTTATTGGAGTTATTGTATTTTTATATATCAATACAGAATGAAGTCGAATATCAAGTTCTCTTGAACTATTTTTCAAGCATCTTTAAAAAAATCAATTTATATACCAATTTAACAGCCAATTAAACTTAAGACAATAAAGAAGTTGAAAAGACATGAAAAACAATGCAGAAAAATAAATGAAGAAAAAAATTATATTTGACAAAAAGTGTGACATGTGGAAAATACATTCAGAAATAATTTACCAATTCTCATTTATCTCTAGAAATCTAGTGACACTATTTGAAACACCTTGGGGTAACACTGAGTTTGTTGAAACTATGGCCATATGTGAGCCTATTGTTAAACCTAATAAAATTTCTATAGGCCCCGGGATATATGATTCAATTTTAAGATACAAAGATCTTGGTCTCCTAGGTCATATCAGCACACTCCTTTTTCAACATATAGCTATTAAAACACCCAATTTCACCCAAAACTTCAATCTAATTAATAATGGATCATTGCTAAATGATTAATTCAAGATTTGTTTTGCTAATAGATTGAGTTACCTTTATGTTGTAGGTCCAATGCAGACTCCTAGGAGTAGCTATCTATTCACAAATTTTCCTCAAAAATTATCTTCTGTTTAATGTCTCCTTTTTTCTGTTTGATATGTTATTTGTAATCAATCTCAGTATATTCTAGATATAATATACTTTCTTAAATCTGTTCAGATACCTTCTCCAATATTTCTCTGAATTACAAAATAACACCCAACCTTTATGCTTTGAATGGAATAACTGTTTCGGTTTAAAATACATAAATTGGGTACTTAAGAAATTATTCTAAAACACGTTAATGGTCACATGTTGTGTTTTACCTGTCAGCTGTTTGACAAGCTTGTAACCACACAGGAAACCAACTTTTAAATTCAAAGTTTTAAAAACTGAATTTTAACATGAAATAAATAATATATGTAATTAACTGATGCACTATTGACCACATTTCTTTCAGTTTAAGTTTTATTTTTAACGATGAAATATTTTATGTCATTCTGTCTTGTAACTTTATGTAAATTGATTCTTATAAAAAACCAAGGATTCATAAGCTTACCTTTGATCAGCACGAAGATTTTTCTTCCTCGTTTCCACAAAAATTATCTTTTGTATCTGCTTTCTTTTAATCTTGCATCTAAAAATAGTCCATATAGTTTTTTAATAGAATGTTTGTTTTGATTTGCGTTGAAAAAGGATGATGAATGCTCTTTATTGTCCAATGCTTTCAATGTCACTCCTCAAATATTATGAATGTTATTGTCTGTCATGAAATAAAAACTGTCCTTTCTCTGTCATGAATATATATGTTGTCCTTCGTTGATTCCTAGCAATAGTTGAAGTTAGCTGAAAGTGAACCAGTCTCCACCATCTCTCTGGTTGACACTGTATCACAAAAGAAAGGTCGTAAAGGTCGGATGACGTGTGCTGAGCACGGGGCTTATTCAGAGATGCTACGAATGTCTAAGAACAATAGCTGGCTGCATCGGCTTGTGGCTTACCTGACGAAATAATGACAACAATCGCTTCAATGCTTTTTCTTGAAAAACTAATCGCTACTTGAATGTAGGCCTTCTGACCCTATATTGACAATGTGGAATGGATAAACTCTTGAACTAGTTAGGTGACCATTCCTAACTGATCATACAAATAATGGGGAGATACATTAATACACATCTATTATGTCAGATTGACTTCAACATTGATTTTTTGAGCATATGCATGTGTGGTTATACAAACTCATGGTACATTTCATCTTTACATTTTGGATTTTCATAATTAAATTTTACCAACAGCCAAAAGTGTCTGTAGAAGTATGTGGCCCACTACATCTGGTGTTGTTATTATTACAAGACCACATAATCAAATGCAGGTCCACTAAATCCTTAACAATAACGGTCTTATTCAGTGACCATTTATTTTTTCACATTCTCAAACACTCTAAGAGTCAATATTGGTCACTGAATACATATTTGTTTTTCCGAACTCTTTGTTCAGTTTCATCCAATTTCATTCATCTTTGAAATAATATCTAGCCTTTTTAAAATCTTGCATAATAATATTTACCGAGTTGTCAACTATGAGACATTCTATAGAATCAACTGTTAACACATGAAACTGCCTAATTCCAACTTCTTTGTCCAATGGTTTTATTTTATTCAACTGACCAAAACTTAATAAAGTTTTTGAAAAGGTTTAATGACACTTTTCAATAGGATATTTCCTTTTAATGTAATATTTCTTGTTTTGAAATTGAATATTTGGACAAGTGATTTCTATTCATCATTACTTTTGTGAGTTGATACCAAAACACATCAAAGCATGAGAAGGTACTCAAGTTGCAGATTGTGTTTTGAAGGCCCTCTCGGGGAAATGATTACATAATAGTCGTGACACATATGGTTTATTGATTAAACCTGTGAGAAACACATCTGGGTCCAGGGATGTGTTTTTGAAGGGAATGCTACTTTTAGAGTATAATGCTTTACAAAAACTTTTTAGATCCAGATTTTGAGAACCTAATTCAAAAGTATAAAACCAATCCAATGTTCCATTTACCTTTCACAGAACCATGACTTTGTCTAAATTAAGCATAATTCTTTGATCGAGATCAAGTTTATATTCGATGAAAAAAAACATGGCATGGAGAATCTTATCAAAAATAAAAAAACATAATTGATTTTGTTTGATTATAAAATCTTACCTTAAGTTTGACTTGTAAAGATTTGGGACTGGAGTTATGGTCAACCATTGTTCAAGAAGTTGGCAAATTCCTGGTGATTCTACCCATTGTTGAAAACTCCCTCTTTTGGAGCCTTAAAATAAATATGATACGGAGTAATTAATTAAATACCAAATATTTACATATAACTTTATATACAGTACATGTAATTGATACTTGCAAAATTAGAATCAAAACAAGTTTTCAGTATCATTAGACATAAACCAAATATTGTATAAATATGAATATTCAATCAATACAATGCTATAAAATGTTAAATTGAATCGGTTTATATTAAACAAGATGGTGAATTTCATACTTATGGTGACGGCAATATTTCTAAAACAATAAGATTTAAACAGACTACTATTTGATAATGTCACAATAACCTTTACAAGGCAAAATTCTAATTAATTTCCTATTAAAGTGTCCGATTTAATCTTTTTTTGAGATGGATTAACTAAAAATAATTATCAAAGATGCACTGGCTGAATCTAATAATTAAAACTTGAAAAATTATAAATCAGACAAAATTAAAGTGACCACACAATTGTCATTTTTTGTCGTATTATTTTTCTGTGTGGCATTACTATGTAAACTAATGACCAAATAATAATTATTTAAAGATTTTTTTTCAATTCATAAAAACCTACACTCAATTTAGAATTAACCTCTTCATTAATTGCGCTATCAGCTAAAACAGATCTCAGTTTAAGATGTCTAACGAGAAAGCTTTTTATCATCTCTTAATGTACTCCTGACAGGCATGTTAACTTTTTTGACCCTACTGACTTTTTTATTTGGAAAAGAACACCTCCTAAATGTTTAAAAGATTCTTTTTTGACCCTATTTTTAACGTTCTTGGGGAGTCAAGCATTCTTTTGAAAACAAGTTAATTCTTTTTATGACCCTTTTTACACCTATAATAAAACAGAAAAAGACATGTCAATTATAAAGAAAGATATTCTTTTGACCCTCTGTCTTTTTTAATAAAAGATTTTTTCAAGCCTTTTTAAATGCGACACCTGTTATTAAGGAGATTTTAAATCGTTTTAATGTCTAAGTAAACGGAAACGTGTTTATATTGAATTGTCCTAAGGGGCTCAAGATGTTTTTTAAGTGCCAATAGAAAATATATTGTCAATATTTACAGCAATTTATCAAACAATGACAAATAGTTTTTAATCCTTCCCTTTGAACATGCATTTAACATAGTAATGAAACGCAAATATTTTTTAAGATTGAAAAACAAAAGCGCCCTGTGTGTCGGCATGTACGCTCATTAACACATGGATCGATTACTTTTAATATAAAAGCGCAATTTTTATCATTTTAAAAAAGCAAACCACTATGAAAACATTTTTCTAATTTTGGTGTTGGAATGCATAAAATGTTTTGTTCTTTGGTAGCTATATTTTCAGTGTGGTTGTGTTAGGTACCATGATGCGTGTGTTACAATGCACTATCGTTACCACACCATCTGTTAGCTTTGGCCAGCAAAAATTACGACCTATTGAAAAAAACGGTTAAAATGCATAAGTGTTGGAGAGCGAGGCAGCTTAATTGTCTAAAACATCGGAAAACATGAAATGTTCTCTATTAAGTTCACGCTCCAATCTCTCTCAAGCTGTGATACTTAGAAGTTTGCAACATTGTGCTTCTTTTTTGACAATAGTCGCGTGGGCCACCTGGACCGGTCAAAAATGTATTCTCTTTTTCTTAAAAAGGTTCAAAAAAGTTCAACCCTCTATCACCCATGGGTCATAACTTGACCCCTGGGGGTCAGAAAATTGTAGGCTATGGGTCAATACCCTGCCTAAAGGCCCCCAAAATAATGCAAAATGAACATTAGAGAAATAAACCGAACTCTAAAAGAGTTACTTTTATTCACCCCCACACATGGTCTTTCTTCCAGTATTAATTATAACCAATCAACTTAAATACAACCCTTTCCCTGGTACCCCAACAAAATACACCATTGAAAAACTTCTACCAAATACCTTCTGAAAGTTGTCGACAAAAACTTTAAAGAAAGAAAAATTGGTCATTAATTTTTGCCATCATTCAGTGTTATGATGAGTTCTTGAATGGTTCCCCCTAATCAATCTGATCCAATCAAAAAACTGGCCAAATCATCAGGGATACATTACCCAGCTTGGGTTTCAAATACTCAGTACACCATAAGGAGTCATTTTTATGGTAAATATTTTAGCCTATTAAGATAATTAGAAATATGCTTTTGCTACAATGGTCGCATGCTAGAAAAAATTGATTCTATCAATTTTAACATGCAAAATTAAAAGAATATGGTGTTTAAGATCCTATTATTATCTTATTGTTGAAAAGAAAAAACAGATCAGCTCAATGATTTGACAAGAATTTTTCAACAATAAAAAAAAGAAAAATTCAAAAAAAAATTCTTCAAATTAGTACAGAACCTAAACTGTTATTTTTAACAAAATTCTTAGAGTTTTTATTTCCTTTTATTTTATCATCTTGGAAGTTAATCTGTAGTGTTTCAATTCATTTGAAAAAAGCATTATATATATTTTCAGTGTTCCTTATACTGTGCAATTATAAAATATGAACACTGAAAAATAAAAATTGAAAATAAATTGAAAGAGAATACAAGTTTCCATAAAATAAATCATGATTCATTCATACGAGAAGTTTAAAATAATAGAAACACAGCACAATATAATTATTTTCATTTATTAATTGAATTTTATATTTGCTACATCTCTTACAGCAAACAATAATGAGCATTATCATATTATTCTTAGAGACCCACTTGTCATTTTGAGATTTTCAGTCATTTAGATTTTTTCAAAAGATAATTAATAAAAGCCTTATGTCTATGTTTCAATTGACCAGTAAAGGGGTCAAGAGAGATTTGAACTTGCCATTGTATTTTCACCTTAGGCTAGGATTAAAAGTGATTAGATGTTTAATTAAACAGTATGCCATATTTTCCCTGATTTTGGAACTGAATTTGTACCATAACACCAAGATAAAGATACAGTACTATATCATTATTTAACAAAATAAGAACATCCAATGTTGAAAACACGGGGGATTAAACATCAGAAAAAATTGTTTCAAACAGAATCATTAATATACCTTTTCAATTGGTTTGACTCGCTTCTTTTAAGTATTATCACTTCCACAAAACACAACATATGCTGTAGGTCTCAACTCATTTGAAAATATTCTGACTCTGTTTCAGAAAAAGGGAAAAAAGGATCTGATACCAGAACAAGTCAATGTCTCTGGTTGTATCAACTGCGCAACAATCACTCTGAGACAGGCCTAGAGAATAATATCCACAATCCTCTAAGGAAGACACACAGTTTGACGATCTTGATGCTGAAAAGAACCTCAAATGAAGCTGTTATGGATTGATACATGATTTTGAATGTGAAATAAAAGCCAGCTACTTCTGAAGGCAGAAAATGCAATAAATGATTGGGAAATACTGTCTAAATGCAAGAGTATATCTTTTTGAGAGTGCAATTAAGGTCTATACTAAAACGCTTGAAAAGGGTACAGACAATATATTTCAACCAAGTTCCTTACCTCAGCTTTAACTGGCACTCTTTGTCTTAAAAGTACTCATTCAATTAAGAACATAATGAACAATTATTTACTGGTTTTGTAATTGCATAAAAACATCAGAAACAACCAATTTACACTTGACCGAGGAAAAGACACCACTTGAATACCTCAATAAAGTGATTAAAATCTACCATAGATGGCTATTAATGCATTTATGTGTTAGATCATCTACATAATAGTTGCATAAAGAAAAATTATGTGAAATAATCTGCTCATTATGAGTCTTAGTGGACGATACCAGGGGAAAGATATTCAAATTTGTAAAACTTGATTCCCCATAAAAATCCAAGCACCTCTACAAAAAATGGTTTAACACAATACAGAGACAACTTTGATAAAAAATTACCTTCATTAAAAAAATGTTACCACTATTGAGACCCATTTTGTTTTTAATAAGTTTTTAAACAAAATATTGGCACAAATTCTTATGATAATTCTCATTCAAAATTACAGTTTCAGGAGCTACTGATATAAATTATGAGACTTACTGGACAATTTGCTGTCTAAAATAGATCAGAATTTTAATCAGAAAGAAGATTAAATGAATAATGAATGCTCAATTCTGAAATAAATGTGTTTGTTGCCCGTATCAGCAATAGACAGTTGGCTTTTGAACATAGAAACACAGATGATGGGATATTTTATGAGATTTTAATTTGCTTAGATGGTTAATATTTTTAATGAAGTATTTTCATCTTGATAGGGGATGATCTACATGATATATGACTTCTATGACCATAGGTCATCTGGTCATAGAAAAATATCAACTTCCCTAATGTACTAATGTTCAATAATAACTGACCACTCTGGCATGAAATCAAACATTTTGTTTCAATTCAAAAACTTTTAATTACATTTTATAATAATGTTTTCAACTATGTTTCATTCCTATTGCCGCATGTGTTCATTATACTTTAGTACACATGATTTTCTAAATGACTGACATGTAAATCTATTTTGTACCAATATAAGACACCAACAAAAAATTATCAACTTTGACATGTTTACCATTTTTAGCACAAAAAAACACGAAAAAACTCTCAAAAAATGATGTCCTTGCAAACAGAGAACTGACCCATGGGATAGTCTTGCTTCAAACCTTTGTGATACCACATAGACCTGACGCAAGACTTAATGCAATAAACACTAAATCAAGCAGATTTACAGTACATGTAAATGTCTATATGTACTTCTCATTGGCAGACTTTGTAAATCCTGGTGGCCCATGTCATGTTCTCTAGCTAACCAACATGCTTACATGGTGTCAGAAAGCAATATTTCCTAAAAAATAAGCCAAAAAATCATACAAGCATCTCATTTTAGGCTTACAAAAGCATTTTTTATTCTGATGCAATTTCCTTATTAATCCTTATTGTTTTCATTTAATTTGTATTGAAATACAATTCTTTCTTAGAATCTGAATGGGTGTTAAAGCATGCATGGAGTGCTCATAAGGGGACACACACTTCCTTAATTACA